TGGATGTCATTACGGGGGAAACTTCTCTCTGTAGGCCCTGTTTACTGCAAAATTTTTTAGTCTGTAATGACATTTTTCATTCTCAACGTATGCCTTCAAGAGAGGGGGCCCTTGTTTTATTTGTTTCATTCGAGTTTACTGCACAAATCCTGTACATTTTAATTAAATGTAAGCTTAACAAAAGAATAAGGTATTTATTCTGTGGGGAACAAATGATGACAGTAACGAAAGAATAAAACAGACACACAAAAGAAAGTCAGGTATTGAGTAAAAGAGAGGGAAAAAGGTACTAAGCCCTATTTGTAGTTTCCCAGAAGCACATTAAACATCAAAGCATTTCTTTTAGCCCTATTTCGGCAGTTTGTGGTCTCTGAGAATTAAAATAACCTGCGAATATGGATTTAATGTCTAAAAAATCCTGACATTTTCAAATAAAAAACTAACAGTCGCTCAGGACTCCAACTGATAAATAATGGCTCTGCTGAAATGACAGACTTCTTGGAAAGAAACCAATTCTGTGATCATTGCACCCCTAGATATGAAACACCTCTTTACAAATTGTCTGAATATGAGCTCTCGTGTCATTATATTTTGTCATTTTAATGCCTATTTGTGTATCTTTTTAATTTGCAATGACATGCAATCAGCAACAAGTCCACTTTTCCCAATATTAATGTGGGCTTGTATTGCAGCTTATGTTTGCCATGTCAGCCAACACTTACCCCTTCTCTTTACCCGTTTTTAAGAACGGGCGAGAGGCAGGCTGGGTTTAGTAGGACAACGTGATTTGTTGCTACATACAGTCCAATAATGTGACATGTTCCTTAAATACATAAAAATTCCTACAACTGTTGTGTTGGATCGCAGTGCTCCATTATAGAAATGCACTGTTCCAAAGTCGAAATAGCAGCTAAGCCTCAAAATATGTTGTTTTCTAAATATCTTCTCTACTTGGCTTTTCACTGTTAAAACAAAAGAAAACCAGTAAAATCTGCAATTCATATTTACCATGAAAAATCACTAAAATTGAAGTTGATGTTCCCAGTAAATTCTTGGTCATAGTCCAGTTAAAATTTAAAGTTACAGTAGATTCACATTAGTTTAAATGACACTTGAACTTCTACACAGCTCAACATTAATTCATTATAGTTGAAATGGAAGAATCTTCAGTGGGTGAATCTTTTACAATCTGATTGAGGCTGTTACATTTTATAGGAGCCATTTTTCAAAGCAGTACTGACAGCACTCGAAGTTATTAAATTGCTGAATCAAAAGATGGACCTGCAATCGCATTTATGAACTGTGATGGAATAGCTGGGGTTGCACTGAGCTGAGGTTAAGATGTTGGTGTAGTTAAGCTTCATCACACCCCTTAGTGACAGCAGTATTTACCCATGTAGTTTACTTTAATGGTCAGGAAGTGGCTTAACTCACCTCTGGATTCAAATAGATTAAGTAAGCAGTCAGAATGGCATAATTATCAGTGCTGCGAGGGATTCACCGGAGAGCTCTTCACCCAGGAGACTTCCCATTCAATTGCACAGTAAAGACTGGAGTTGCATAGATTCACGGGTACAGCATTTATTCGAGGAGATGAAAACAGGATGAATTTCCTTTTTCTTTCCCTTCCCCAGACTGGAGCTTCTCCTCAATGCAGTGATGCTGAGTCCCCTACATAAATTATCATGATCTTAGGGGAAAGATGTCATGATTTTGCTGTGCGCGTATGAAAATTATGATCGTAGAATTATTTTGATTTTGAAATCCACTGGAAAATGCATGATTTGTAGAGTTATTTTGATTTTGTGCCACATCGCTGCCAGGCTCCTCTTTTATCATGTCAACAAAGCAAGATTCCTGAGAGAATTAATTACTTCTACTGTATTATAAAATGTGGAGGAGCTAAGATAATTGTCATTTTATGTTGATCTCCCCTTCCTATTTTTCTGCTCTTTGGGGGGTCTTGTGGGTGTCAGTGCCTACAGAGAGCACAGGAAAAGTGGGGATAAGAACCAGTCGTACCACAGTAAGCTTCCTTCTTGCTTATGCCTGACAAAATATACTTCAATTGCATGTGCCAGATTTATCATGCAGCATCACTTGGAAACACTCTAATGGTTTAAATTGTTAATTTTCTTTTCCAAAGATAACCTGCCTTGCAAACTAAGATGGAGAAAGTTGTGTAACATCAGTTTAGGCTTGTGAAGGTGATTTGCAGCCTTTCAGCTTAATAAAATTACTTCTTGTGCTTCACAGTACAGTTCACCACCAGAAGCTTTGTAATAGAAAAAAAGATAGATAGATAGACAGACAGATGCCAGCAAGAGCTCAGTCTTTTAAGCATTGGTGTTATCTTGGAATATTAGCTTGATATGCACCTTAGCATATCAAGTTGCTAGAGGCTGCAAGATGCCAAGTACTCAGTCTCGGAGTAACACAGCTCCTGAGTGTGAACTTACCTTTAAGCAAATGAGCCTCTGGTTTTTAGAGCCCAATTTAGTTCTCTGTGGGATCAGGGCCTGACAGCTCTATGCTTTGGGTGAAGAAAGAGCCCCCTTAGACCAGTTTTAGTATAATTTTTTTGGCCTCTTGAGTTCAACAGAGCACGTTGTTCACTAGAAGTGTCTTGGTGGCTTGGAAAGTACAGTGTTAGCCTGAAATTTGACTGCAGGAGTCAATTTTGTTCTTGCTTGTTTTATGCCAAACAAGCAATGGCATATCTATGTGTGTTAGTGATAAGATGCTACACCTGTTATTCAAGAGATGTGATTTCAGTTTGTGTAGGTGAATTTAAACTAGCGCGTGGGTGTGGGTAGTCTCAGCAGCATGGACTTAATCAGCCTTCCCAAGGCCCATATGGCATTAGACCCTCACCTCGTTCTCAGTCTCCACTCTTAGGACCCACTCTTCTCTCTGTATGCACTGGTTGTGGCCCAACGCTCGCATCCCAGCACCTGTGGGAGCTGCAGGGGTGCTTCAGGATGGCACCGCCACGGGGACACAGCGAGTGCTAGAGCTGTTCTGCCATGGACATCCACAAAGCTGGTCACAGGGTGCTCTCAGTTATGTCTTCCCAAAAATGCCAAAGGCAGCCCTGAGGCAGTGCTTTGAGGATGGTGGGCTTGACCTTCTGCAGCTGTGGGTACAATTTGCTTTGCTGGAGCTTTATCGTTAGTGATGAGAGCTGAGAAGGAAACCGTCAATGACCCAAAACCAGACCGAGTGGTAGAACAAGCAGTTGGAATGTGGAGGTTACCAGTATTTTAATTTGTTAATTGATTTCATCTAGAAATAACTAAGAAGAATTAAGAAGTGTAATTGATGTTTCTCTAGATGATATTTTATAGAATATCCCACTTAGGGCAAGAAAACTACCAAGTGTTTTCTCCAGGTAACTAGGCTAGTGACTGAGTCAATCAGGTGTGCTGGAGAAGATGCTAGGCGGGAAATGAAGGAGAAGACAATGGCATCAAAATGACAGCATGGCAATTACCTCGCCAACAAAAGCAGGGTATTAAGAAGATCAGTTTTTCATACCCAGACATGTAATGTAATATACGATTCTAAAATTCATTACTGAATGTGGTGGGTTGACCCTGGCTGGACGCCAGGGGCCCACCAAGCCGCTCTATCACGCCCCTCCTCAGCTGGACAGGGGAAAAAAAATAACAAAAGGCTCATGGGTCGAGATAAGGACAGGGAGAGATCACTCACCAATTACCATCACTGGCAAAACAGGCTCGGCTTGGGGAAAATTAATTTAATTTATTACCAATCAAATCAGAGTAGAGTAATGAGAAATAAAACGAAATCTTAAAACACCTTCCCCCCACCCCTCCCTTCTTCCCGGG